TCGACCACGAAGGTGAAGCCAATGTTGAGGGTACATTGTCGTATTGCAACAGGAAATGCTCCATTGCAGAACAAACTAGCACATATGGATAGAGTTTTATAGAGAAATATAAGGGGAGAGAGGCCACAGACACAGGTGCCACTGGAAGTGAGGCTAGAGATGGGGGTTATAGCATATACACAATGATATAAAAATAACCTGATGTATCCGTTAGAAAATCTATGAGGGTAGGATGACAGAATCGAACTTGCGTTCTGGGTCACCTAGGATTTTGTTTTGATCCTATTGTCCTGTTCCAATGAGTCTCGTATTATAGTAGACCTTGCTTTGGTTTAAAGGGGTTTTAAAGATTAAAGTAAGGGTCAATCATATAATAAAAGGCTTGTTTTTGTTATACAAATGGCTGTCAAGGAGTTAGTCATAGTAGAGCATGATAACTTTTCAGTGAAAGGAAAGTCAGTTCTTAACACGAAGTGACTTTATAGACCCTCAGACAAAACTTCTGAAAATAAAGAAGATTGCGAAGTTTCGGTCCATCCTGGACCGTTTCTGTCCATCCTGGACCGTTTCTGTCCATCCTGGACCGTTTCTGTCCATCCTGGACCGTTTCTGTCCATACTGGACCATTATGAAACCGTGTAAAGGTCTTCATATTAGACCAAAATGGACCGAAATGTCGTCTCTTTAATTTCAGATGTGTGGGGGTTCTGTGGCTAATTTTCACCCTCGCTAATGTAACTTACTATCACTTATAAACGAATCGGAATCGCATAGGTCCTGTTTCTTGCAGGTCGGCGTTCAATCTCCGATGACCAGAGTGGTTGGGCACCATTTCTGCCCTCCTGGGCTATCCTAGCTCCTTGTCCTCGTATCCCTCCTAAGATTTTCTAAACTATCTTACCTGTCTAAAACCATAGTGAATATCACACTATTTTTTCGATATATCATCAAATAATTTTCAATGACTGACTTATATGAATGATAACTTAGAGGAGTGATAACTTAGAGGAATGATAACTATGATAACAAGACCTGGAGCTACGGGAACAATCCCTAGGTACACAATTTAATCGATTATGTTGTGTTGTTTTAAAGTTAATTTCACTTTACCTTTGGAAAAGGAAGATAATTGAAATGATAGATACTGGACACCATTCTTAAGCAATATACTGAAGGGTAAAAAGAGTTTATATAGTACGAAATTATAAATGTTTATTGTTCATGTTCCAAGCTGGAAGTAAAAGGTCCTGTTGGGTGACAATATATATAATAATTATTCTCTTAACACTATCTTTAGGCTGATATATTAACATGTATATGTGTGAATATATACAAATATATATATATATATATATATATATATATATATATATATATATATATATATATATATATATATATATATATATATATATATATATATATATATATATATATATATATATGAATTCACATTTGGGGAGTTGGGAGCTCGATCTCAGGCCTGAAAATTACGAAACCGTCGCTCTACCAACCAGTTAACGTTACTACCAATAAAGACACGTCACAGAAATACACAACTGGTTATTGTGAGCGTTTCCTTTATTATAAGTTGAATAATAAAGCCATTAATAAAGAAATTAAGAACTTAACAATAAGAAGTCTGCACTTGGTATTAAGAAAATTCTTTTGGAGGTCAAAAAGTTGTTTTCCTTGTAAATGAATGATGCAAAGCACTTTGAAAAACTCCTTTTGCGAATAAAGTTGTATATTTAACAGTAATCTAGTTAATTTTAGTTCTCTATTTCTCACTCACCTCCAGCATGAGAGGTGAGAGTTCTGTCGACTGAGACACGAGTTAGCCACAATGAGAAAGAATTTCAGACGCATCAAACCGCTGTCTGACTGAAACTTAAAATGGCAGCCCCTGGAAGGCCTAAAATTTCAGTTTGGGCAATGGTTTGGTGTCTCTGAAATCCTTATTTATTTGTGGCTAACTCGTGGATATATATATATATATATATATATATATATATATATATATATATATATATATATATATATATATATATATATACATTACACTTTAATCTGAAACAAGTGTGCTACAAGAATACAAAGCTTGATACAAATAAAATACAAAAAATACATTTTAAACATGAATTCACTTTGCTAACAGTTCAAGAAACTTCATGAAATTTAACTTCAAATAAAAAATACTCTTAGGAAACATCACTTACATTAAATATTAACATCGTAGACAAGTTCTTTAAACACTCCAGGGGAATGTAATGTTATTTTGAATGATATTATTCTTCTAGCATGTTCTGTAAGTTTAATAACAATAACAAGGTGAACATCAACAATATATGTTATGTACCCATTGGTTCTTAACAACAGGAAGATATCTACATACATACATACCCGCATGATATCTCATGGCTTTCAAAAGTAGGGTGATATAGTTCTCATGTTTCGAAACACAATTGCTATCGCACGTGCATACACACACACACACACACACACACACACACACACACACACACACACACACACACACACACACACACACACACACACTTTTTAACGAGCCTTCATACGTTACATTTTTAAGCAAGAAATTATAGAACGAATAGCTTGTTTTCCTTGATTATCAAAATATATTTGATGCAATTTCTTTCAAAGAGACGAGAAATAAACTTGAAAACCAATCAGAGGTGTCTGTGAGAATTAAAAAAATAAATTAAATTAAATTAGGGAGTACCTCTCTGATAGGAAACAGAGGATTTCACATATAGAAGAGACGTCATAATTGAGGAAGATAACACGGATAGTTTAAGGCTGCAAAATGACTTGAATAACATTAAGATATGTTGGAGAAATGGCTAATAGACTTCAACACATATAATTGCAACGTAATGAGAATTAAGGAGTGAGCTTGAAAATCCATTAATCAGTATATAACAAAGCTTAACCTGCTCCCTAAGACCACGATATCGAGGAACAAGGCAGTTTAAAGGAATTTCTAATCATCTGAGACATAAATAGTTTAACATTAGCATAATTAACTCAGATAGAGAAAAGAGCAGCATTTAGGAACCAGAGGAAGGAGGCTCTTAGATCATGGTACATGGTGTATGGAAGCCACAATTGTCTAGTATGCCGACCCAGCCTGGAACCTCCTCCTAAAGAGGCATAAAACTTACTTAGATAATGTCCAGAGGTGTATAGAAGCAGTGTGGAATATTGACTCTTGGTTACATTCAAAATACTGACTCTTAGTTTCATCAATAACACTGACTCTTTAATTCATTCATAACACTCACTCTTTAATTCATGAATAACACTGACTCTTGACTTCATTCATAACACTCTTTAATTCATACATAACACTGACTCCTGGGATCATACTCAGAATGATTGTCACGCAGCATCATTAACCGGACTGATCTCTTTAACCCTCACACTGGAAACAATCCCATTCACAGGACTCTTCCCAGGACTCTTCCCAGGACTCTTCACAGGACTCTTCCCAGGACTCTTCCCAGGACTCTTCCCAGGACTCTTCACAGGACTCTTCCCAGGACTCTTCCCAGGACTCTTCACAGGACTCTTCCCAGGACTCGTCACAGGCTAAACAATTTACCGGGTAAAGATTTCACAGGAACACAAACCTCTTCTCCTCTTTACAGTGTTCGATGTGATCCTATATTATAGGTAATTCACACATACTCTAGCTACATATACAACATTGTATTAACATACATACCTATATATGGTATATTATTATTATTACATGTATTTCTGTATGCCCCTAGAGTTAGCATAAGTGGGTCATCTCACACGGATATATATATATATATATATATATATATATATATATATATATATATATATATATATATATATATATATATATATATATATATATATATATATAAGGTACTACCTGTGGTTGTATTAGTGGTGACCCTTCGCCTCGGTGAAGAGAACTTATGGCACTCGGGAGAACTAGCAATAATATATTGCAAGGGAAATTTAGCTAACATGGTTTCTGTGGTATTGTTTCTCCCAGTGATCTTGTAGTTTAATTTTGTATAATTGCAACGGAATGTATTCTGATTGTATTCCCATACAGCCATGTCCTTTCCCTTTAACTTATAAAGTAAAATAAATAAAATATTTCTCCCTTTGTTTTTTAATATATCTTAAGATCATATGACTTTGGATATTGAAAAAATCTTTTTCCCTCTCTACTGTCACGAAAAAATATATGTGAACTACATATTCTGGTACAAATGTGTACGTGTGTCATTAAAAATATAGGATATATAACTTGTGAGTTAATAGGTAACTATCTGTCAGAGGAAACAATGATACAGTCAATTGCAAATGTTGCAAGAAAAATCCTTTGCAACCTTGCAATAATACAGTAAAAACAAGAGGATTATATTCATAATATATATCACAGTTAGGAATTTTTTAATTCGTGTAAATATATTTAGTATATTCTATCTATTCTTAGCAAGAAACTTCCATTCCGGTGAAAAGCTTTGCCCCCCTAGCATTATATAAGTATCAAAAAGTGGCCTTTTTAAGCACTTTTCATTTTTTCCTGTATACAAAAATAGCTGCCAAACCAGCTGTGTTTGTGGTAGATTCTCAACTCACAGAAATAGTTTTATCTCTCTCTGTTTTTATTGTGCGTGTGAGTTTGTGAGGTGACTCTCGCCTGTTGGTCAACCCTTCCGTCGCGGTCAAGCGCGGGAGCTTTATCTGAACTTCCCCGCGACGTCGAAGGTGAACTGCTATCAGGAGAGTCTTCACCCGCTATATTCCCAGTGGAGGAGGCTTCAGGCACCTCCAAGACGCACTCAATATCGGTAGTCTCCCCAGCAGGATATCTCGAGTGACTACTTAGAGTCCTTCGCGCCTCCTGATGGGGGCTGCTGCTGTATCCGGAGGATCCGCTGTTCTCGTGTTGATGGTGCGCGTGCGGGCCGAAGGTACCCGAGTCGTACTGGAGGTTCTCCTGATGGAGGCGGGACACCAGGTCGAAATTGTCGTAGTGGCTAGGAGTGGATAGAGGGTCAAGGGCAGGACCGGCACAGGGACGCCGCTGGTGGATTGTAAATTGAGGGGGCTTCGTTCGACGTTGCCGCGGCCCAAGTGTGGAGTAGCCTGGTGGGGTGTTAGTCGAACATCCTAGAGGAGGGATGGAAAGATTTTGTTTAGCAGGAGAAATGATGAAGCTATACCACATATTATATAAAGCTGAAGATGGCTATATATTGCAGAAAATAAATCGTAGTAAAGTGGATGCAAGCTGGTATTCGAACCCACACAGCAAATGAAATGAAAATGAGAACATTTCGCTCCATCCAGGGCCTGATAAAGGTCCAAAACTCACCGAAATATCGTCACATTGATTTTACATATCCAGGTCTGGGTTATTTGTTTCTAAGTGCAGTCCTAAACAGAGCCCAACTCAACACCAGAAATGGATTCATAAGTATACTTAAAGGGATTAGAAACTAACTTTACCACATTTTAATTCCTCTTGCTTCACGCAGAGGCCAGGAGCTAGAACCTCTGCTGGACAGAAACATATACTTCCATACACACATGACACACGTACACATAAAAGAAACAGACCATGAACACACATTTACATGCATGTGTCCCCCATGGCAACTGCCACAGGGAGGGAGGCGGGGACCAGGAGCTAGGGCTATGATTTTGGGAAGTAAAAAATGGGCCCAAGACCTGCCATACTCTGGCTTGGGACGCCTGAACGAGTCGCAGTATCCACCGTACTGGTTTCTACATTCACCGTATGGGTTTCTGTATCCACCGTATGGGTTTCTGTATCCACCGAATGGGTTTCTGTATCCACCGTATGGGTTTATGTATCCACCGTATGGGTTTCTGTATCCACCGTATGGGTTTTTGAATCCACCATATGGGTTTCTGTATCCACCGTATGGGTTTCTGTATCCACTGTATGGGTTTATGTATCCACCGTATGGGTTTCTGTATCCACTGTATGGGTTTATGTATTCACCGTATGGGTTTTTGAATCCACCATATGGGTTTCTGTATCCACCGTATGGGTTTATGTATTCACCGTATGGGTTTCTGTATCCATCGTATGGGTTTTTGAATCCACCATATGGGTTTCAGTAGCCACTGAATGGGTTTCCGTCCCTGCCCACCAGAGGGCGTCAACTTGCGCTGGTGGATTGGGTATCCGGATCAAGAGGCAAGAAGGAATCTCTGCAAAGCTATTATTAAGTCGTGTTCACATTATTGCAAAAAACGTTTTTATTACGTTTTTACAAATAACGTAAAAACGTCATCCAAAATAACGTTTTGATAACGTTTTTAAAAAGTGACATCGTGATCGGGGCTATTAAAAATATCGTCATGGTGGCGTTTGTGTGTTTGTTAGAAAGGAGAAGTTAGGATGAGTGCAGACTTACTCGGATGACAGTGGGCTCCCCAGTTTAATATCGGAAATTCCCCAGGAGACGAGATACACCGCCTGGCTTCAGTTCGAACCCTGCCTGAGAACGTATACAACGGGATTTATTCAGCAATTTCGTGGGGAAACGGGATTTAAAAGTAAGAATAGGGAAGAGAGGGGAGGAAACCTCTGCTTTATTTACACACGAGGCGGGCTTAGCGCGAGGCAGCATTCTCGGCTTTACTTACTTTATGGTGTTGTGTAATAAAGTGTTACAAAGTGTGATTTTTAAGATCACACTTTGTAACCAAGGTGTTATTTTTTCACATGGATTTGATGGTGTGATAAGATAATAATATTATGCAAATTATTGTTGCTACATTGTGGTGATGGTGGTTGCTATGAGCCTCGTTATTCACTTACAGAAGCAAATTTAATTGTTATTCGGAAATAAGATCACAACATGCACTGCTAAAGGAACTGTTTGCTCGGGCGTGTTCTAGGGAAAAACTTGTTGGGTAGAACTGTGGGAAGAGCTCTTGTTAGCAGGACTTCTGACTCTTGTTAGCAAGCTCTTAAGCCTGTTAATAAGAGTCAGATGTCGTCTTCCCCTGTACCTACCTGTGAAAAAGAAAAAGAGTTCTTGGAATAAGATATCCATATCCCATCTTCCAACATAATTACTGTTAAGTCCTCATGGCAGGATAAGGTATCAAAAATGAGTTAGCATTCACAACTGACTAAGATCATTCACCCGATATATATATATATACAGAGGAAAGCTGTGAAATAACAGCACGTTCTTAAAAAAAATTCACATACGAACATGTTCTAAAATACACACACACACACAAACACACATTCACACACAAACACACATACGAAACAACCAGTAAGATCTTCTGAGATCAATCAACTCACACAGACATAATTTCCATGTTGTTCTTATTAAGATGAAGAATTTAAGAAGACTAGAACGAAAAATGCAGGTCTCGTGATGTCTGTTCAAATATATATATATATATATATATATATATATATATATATATATATATATATATATATATATATATATATATATATATATATATATATATTAAATGGTCTACCTGATTTTCTCAATAAAAAATAATGGATGTAAATAAATAATTATAGGAATTAAAAATAATTGTTGGAATAAAGTTTGTTGATTAGCTGGAATGTGATGAAAAGTAATTGGTTAATCGAGACATTAAATTAGAAGAAATCCAATTTGAATTTATTGTTTTTAATTTACACTATTTTATACAAAAATATATACTTTTAGATTTGTTTAGATTATCTTAGATACAATCTAAACCACATTTATTAATCAAAGGCAAAAAATTATGCACTAACTATTGATTGAGATAACAGACCTGCTGCGAAGGATATCATACCTGCTGTGAAGGATATCAAACTGCGCTTGGAGTCCGGATTATTTTCTGCTCTGAGGTCGTAAAGTCCGGATGGATTTAGACTTGAATAATCAGACGCGTTTTGCTGCATCAGTCGCTGTTGCCCTGGTGAGAGGCGTGGGTGCGCATGGAAGGTATCTTGAATCAACTGCGGCGCCGCCTGCTGCTGTAGAACCCCTAGAGAGGATAGTGGACGGAGGAATCCCTGGGAATAGATTCGAGAGTTGTTGCTGCGGTTGGAACACAGAGAGAACGTGTCGTCGGCCGGGTAGAGGTCCAAACTTCTCCGACGGTGGTCCTCTTGCAAAGCGTTGTCGTAGAAACTGGAGGCCACTGAACAGACGTCTGGCTCCGTTGTGAAATTGACCAAATCGTGCTGCCTGTGGGAGATCGATGGCTCTTCCTCCGGAGAGGCGCTTCTGCTTGAAGATGAGTCCCTTCGGGTCCACGGCTGCGACGGTCCGGGAGACACAGCTACCGTCGTCTTCGGGGCCGTGTTGTTAAGGACTAAGAAAGTACTCTTTGTTGTGATGATGCCTCCATTGTGACAGGGTAAAATATGTGTGTTTGCGCTGATGGCAATGTCTCCTGGGGCCAGAGTTTTTAACTCACTCTCTTCTAGCATTGTTTGCTGCTCTGCCTGTAGTTAATGGGGGAAAACACTGAGATTAGTAACAAGTTTTGTGTCTTCTATGGCTGCAATATATGTTTAGCCATCAACAGCTGCAATGATTTCTATGAATCACTGATAGAATTTGACAGCTAAGTCTAAATCTAAATTATACACTATAAAATTTAGGTGTGTATATTTTTTCCTCCTGGATCCAAGTGGCATATAATGCTCTATTTTACTACAATTTTTTGTCATTTGTAGCATTATTGTATTTTTTTTTATGCCCTGCCACGGTTGGACGGAGAGGTTTACCCAAAAAATTTTGTTCATCTGTGGGGGGACACGTGTAAACAAACTAAAAAAAGGTGTTTGCATTAGAGAAATGGGTGGATGAGGGGTAGAAGGTGCGGGCACTAACAAGGACAGCTAGACATTGTTGACCCAACTGACGAAGCTGAACGGAATATTTACTCTGCGTAATTCCAACCCTGCACTCTGCTCGTCTGTATTCGTCGCGTTATCACAGCGTCGTGAGTCTGTGTGTGTCTCTCTCTCTATCTGTCTGTCACACATCCGTTCACGTTGCTCTCAGGTTGGACGGGGTCCTATCTCCATCCTTGGGGGTCCTATCTCCACCCTTGGGGGCCCCATTAGGTTGGACGGGGTCCTCTCTCCATCCCTTGGGGGTCCCTTTAGGTTGGACGGGGTCCTCTCTCCATCCCTTGGGGGTCCCTTTAGGATGGACGGGGTCCTCTCTCCATCCCTTGGGGGTCCCTTTAGGTTGGACGGGGTCCTCTCTCCATCCCTTGGGGGTCCCTTTAGGTTGGACGAGGTTCTCTATCCTCCACTTTCAGTCCTCTCAGTCTGGATAAGGTCTCTTTACCTCATGCAGTACTCTCAGGCTAGATGAGGTTTAGACTGACCATGAGCGGAATTGATAAATACATGACACAAAGTGTATGATATTAATGCCAAGTCTGATGTTACGAAGTATTATGTTTAATTTTCTATTAATGGTCTCACGGGAGCATAATATACTAATGTTGATCCTTTTCAAAGGCTCTTTATTTCTGTTTCTCTGTCACTCTGTCTCTCATTTTGAGACTTTTCTGGGTTTGTCAGGCTATCATTGTCTGTTTTTTTTCTGTTTGTCTCTTTGTATTTGTCTGTGTCTGTGTATATGAGTTTGTATATTTGCCTATTTCTCTCTACGTCTGTGTTTATATGTCTGCTTCTATGTCTAACTCTGTGTGGCTGTTTCTCTCTCTCTCTCTCTCTCTCTCTCTCTCTCTCTCTCTCTCTCTCTCTCTCTCTCTCTCTCTCTCTCTCTCTCTCTCTCTCTCTCTCTCTCTCTCTCTCTCTCTTTCATCTTTCGCGACGCAGCGCGAACATAGAGAGAGGTTTGCGTTGAGGCGCTAGTATGCATACGCTAGCTACAAGCTGAAGGTATGCATACCGCTGGAGGTATGTATACTACTAAAGATATGCATATAACTGATAGGATGAAGGGTAGGAATGGAGGGGGGGTGGGGTTTACATGTAATAATTCTTGTTTTTATCAGCTCTGTACTTTATTATAATTATAAGTACTGTACTCGTAGTACTTATGATTATAAGTAATCTTGTTACAGTCATATTTTCTTAGAGAAAATATTTTTCTAAGAAAGTTCTTCTAAGAAAATCTCTAAGAAAGCTTTTCTAAGAAAATCTCTAAGAAAGCTTTTCTAAGAAAATCTCTAAGAAAGTTTTTCTAAGAAAATCTCTAAGAAATATTTCGTCATATTTCTCTCGTCATTGCTCTCTTGATCCAATCCAAAGACAACATGAAAGTGATTCTAAGATTGTGATATGGATTGAATTCTTACGTTAAAATAAAAATAGGCTCAATCTTCTCTCAAACTTTACCTAGTGGCTGTTTCCACTAGCAATATGTAGGGACATTTTATTCAATCAAACTTGTTGGCATAAGACGATTCAGAGCTGTTAACCTTCCTCAAGGATTAGTTAATCACTCACTCTCTGGGGTTTGAGAGAAAAGGGATTGTTGAGGGGATTTGTAATGGGTGTGGAGAGAGTTCCTATTCCTTATAATGGGTAAAAGGTTGGAAACCCTTGATTTAAAATAGGAAAACCATTTTAGTAAATAAAATATTCCGTTGTGGAGTCAATGCTTTATTTGATTAATTTCCCTGATAGCTAAAAAGGAGTTTATTAGGGGATTTAGTCGGAAGAAAATAAGAGTTATATAGATTTATAGATAGAGTGGCTCTTGATAGATAAAAGAATATAAGAAAAATGCAGATTGGAGAAAAAAATTTTTTGCCCATTCGAAGCAGCTGGTATTTTAATTAATTCCTTGTTATATATCTTCAAACGTGTTACAAGAATCACTGGATTGTTACAATCGACGCTTGTAACAATCCAGCAATTCAACGTCTATTTCTCCCGATTGTTTGTTCCTTAATGCTACAACCCTGTTTCCAACTTGTATTTACCCAGGTCTTTCCTAAATCTGCATTGGACAGGACGGTAGAGCGACGGTATCGCTTCTTGCAGGTCGGGCGTTCAATCCCCGACTGTCCAGGTCATATGGCTCCATTCCTCCCCTCCCCCCCCCCCGTCCAATCCCAAATCCTAATCCCTATATCCCCCCTAAAAGCCCCATCGTCGCAATTGATTAGTACTTTTTCCGAAACACTTCCTTACCGAATCCAATTTAATTTTACGAGAGTTCTTGAATAGGAGAATGACACTGACCTTATAACTTGGTGCCGGATTGGTGAAGCTGTTTGAGGACATGGATGAGAGAGGGAGAGAGTGGCTTGAGTTGAGTGCCGGGGTTGGCACTGGAGTGGCACCGATGGATCCCAAGGCAGAACTCTTTGAAGACGTCACTTTTGGGGTTAAAGAAAAGGTCCTTGTCAATCACCCGTTTGTCGGGTGATTGACAAGGTCAATCACAATGTAAATATTATATTTTTTTATATACTGGAAAGCGTTTGGGGTTTATTTATTGGTATTAGAGATAATTTAAGGAGGCCTAAATGCTTTGCAAAGTTATTTAGAAGTATTTATGTGTTTATTTATGTAGAGGAATACTTAAAACACATGATTTAGTTATAAGTGTATACTAAAGTATAGTTTTTGGAGTCTATAATATATAATATATGCATATAAATATATATATATATATATATATATATATATATATATATATATATATATATATATATATATATATATATATATATATATATATATATATGTCGTACCTAGTAGCCAGAACGCACTTCTCAGCCTACTATGCAAGGCCCGATTTGACTAATACGCCAAGTTTTCATGAATTAATGTTTTTTCGACTACCTAACCTACCTAACCTAACCTAACCTAACTTTTTCTGCTACCTAACTGAACCTAACCTATAAAGATAGGTTAGGTTAGGTAGGGTTGGTTAGGTTCGGTCAAATATCTACGTTAATTTTAACTCCAATAAAAAAAAATTGACCTCATAGATAATGAAATGGGTAGCTTTATCATTTCATAAGAAAAAAATTAGAGAAAATATATTAATTCAGGAAAACTTGGCTTATTAGGCAAATCGGGCCTTGCATAGTAGGCCGAGAAGTGCATTCTGGCTACTAGGTACGACATATATATATATATATATATATATATATATATATATATATATATATATATATATATATATATATATAATGGTCCCAGGACTATATGCAACTGAAAACTCACACCCCAGAAGTGACTCGAACCCATACTGCCAGGAGCGCAATGCAACTGGTGTGTACAGGACACCTTATCCACTCGACCATCACGACATTGTGCTCCTGGCAGTATGGGTTCGAGTCACTATATATATATATATATATATATATATATATATATATATATATATATATATATATATATATATATATATATATATATATATATATATGACAATGTCAGACCACGGAGGAAAAATGAAACAGGAAGGACCTTCTGAAGATGTATTTAATATACGAAAGTACTTAAGGAAATTCCTGTTTCATTTTTCCTCCGTGGTCTGACTTTGTCATATTCTTAATCACGTGTTTATTTTCGTGATATACACACACACACATATATATATATATATATATATATATATATATATATATATATATATATATATATATATATATATATATATATATGAGATTAATATTTTATCATCTATTTATTCCAAGTATGGATGTACTGTTTCTCTATCACAAGTCAGCTCAATACTACGTATTTCATTATTTAAGATGTCCTGTAGTGCTTGTATCACTAACTGCCTTATAACTAACAGCTTAAGAACTCACTTGAGGGATTCCTGTTGATGGCGCGACGTCTAACGAAACAAGCGATGATTGAGATGTTGAGGGCTAAGAGAGCCGCTCCTGTAAGGGTCATGATAAGGAGGATAAGACGAGGCGTCCTGGATCCACCGTCCTGGTCCTTCGGATCGTCCAAAACGTCTTCCGGAGAGTCGTCCGGTGAGACTCCATCCGGATCCGGAGCCACTATGCCTCGATCCGGCTGCCAGCTGGTAGCTCCGGCTGTTCCCTGCCTGGTAGTGCTTGGCGCCTCGCTGTTACCTGATCAAGAAGCAAAGATACACAACCTGGAGAAGGCTATCTTTAGATCTTGAGATGATTTCGGGGCTTTAGTGTCCCCGCGGCCCGGTCCTCGACCAGGCCTCCACCCCCAGGAAGCAGCCCGTGACACCTGACTAACACCCAGGTACCTATTTACTGCTAGGTAACAGGGGCATTCAGGGTGAAAGAAACTTTGCCCATTTGTTTCTGCCTCGTGCGGGAATCGAACCCGCGCCACAGAATTACGAGTCCTGCGCGCTATCCACCAGGCTACGAGGCCCCTACACAGGAACGCACCATTCAGCTGATGGGATTAAGACGAACAGATCAACAAACTGAACAAATCCACAAGGGCAGTGACGAGGATTCGAACCTGCGTCTGGGAGCATCCCAGACACTGCCTGAATCGGCTACGGGATCCAGTAAGTTCAGTAGAACTTCGGTTTCAACCCTTTTACCCTGTCGTAGCTCAGTCGATAAAGGCAGTGTCTGGGATGCTCCCGGACGCAGGTTCGAATCCTCGTCACTGCCCTTGTGGATTTCTTCATTTGATGCATCACGTTAGTGTGATCTCTTTTCGGAAGTCAAAGGTTCCTTTGAATCGTATTTTTCTAAGGGTGCTACAAGAAGAGACTGATGCTGACTCAGGGAGGGAATGGTGACCCACCAGGAGGGTGATAGTGACTCACCAGGAGTGTAGTGACCCACCAGGAGGGTGATAGTGACTCACCAGGAGTGTAGTGACTCACCAGGAGGGTGATAGTGACTCACCAGGAGTGTAGTGACCCACCAGGAGGGTGATAGTGACTCACCAGGAGTGTAGTGACCCACCAGGAGGGTGATAGTGACTCACCAGGAGTGTAGTGACCCACCAGGAGGGTGATAGTGACTCACCAGGAGTGTAGTGACCCACCAGGAGGGTGATAGTGACTCACCAGGAGTGTAGTGACCCACCAGGAGGGTGATAGTGACTCACCAGGAGTGTAGTGACCCACCAGGAGGGTGATAGTGACTCACCAAGCAAAGTGAAGAAGGAGAGTGACACGAAGTGGGATCGGCCGTGGTCGTTGGTGGCCTGAATGGCGGCTGTGTACTCCGTAGCTGGTGCCAGTCCCGTCACCCTGGCCGTCGTCGTCCCTCCTCCAGACACCTCCACGTACTGCGTCAAGAAGACCACATTAACACCTCCACGTACTGCTTCAAGAAGACCCCATTAACACCTCCACGTACTGCGTCAAGAAGACCACATTAACACCTCCACGTACTGCGTCAAGAAGACCACATTAACACCTCCACGTACTGCGTCAAGAAGACCACATTAACACCACGTACTGCTTCAAGAAGACCCCATTAACACCTCCACGTACTGCGTCAAGAAGACCACATTAACACCACGTACTGCGTCAAGAAGACCACATTAACACCTCCACGTACTGCGTCAAGAAGACCACATTAACACCTCCACGTACTGCTTCAAGAAGACCACATTAACACCTCCACGTACTGCATCAAGAAGACCACATTAACACCACGTACTGCGTCAAGAAGACCACATTAACACCACGTACTGCATCAAGAAGACCACATTAACACCACGTACTGCGTCAAGAAGACCACATTAACACCTCCACGTACTGCGTCAAGAAGACCACATTAACACCACGTACTGCATCAAGAAGACCACATCAACACCACGTACTGCGTCAAGAAGACCACATTAACACCTCTACGTACTGCGTCAAGAAGACCACATTAACACCTCCACGTACTGCGTCAAGAAGACCACATTAACACCACGTACTGCATCAAGAAGACCACATTAACACCACGTACTGCGTCAAGAAGACCACATTAACACCTCCACGTACTGCGTCAAGAAGACCACATTAACACCACGTACTGCGTCAAGAAGACCCCATTAACACCACGTACTGCTTCAAGAAGACCACATTAACACCTCCACGTACTGCTTCAAGAAGACCACATTAACACCTCTACGTACTGCGTCAAGAAGACCACATTAACACCTCCACGTACTGCGTCAAGAAGACCACATTAACACCACGTACTGCATCAAGAAGACCACATTAACACCACGTACTGCGTCAAGAAGACCACATTAACACCTCCACGTACTGCGTCAAGAAGACCACATTAACACCACGTACTGCTTCAAGAAGACCCCATTAACACCACGTACTGCTTCAAGAAGACCACATTAACACCACGTACTGCTTCAAGAAGACCACATTAACACCACGTACTGCTTCAAGAAGACCCCATTAACACCACGTACTGCTTCAAGAAGACCACATTAACACCACGTACTGCTTCAAGAAGACCACATTAACACCACGTACTGCTTCAAGAAGACCACATTAACACCACGTACTGCGTCAAAAAGACCACATTAACACCTCCACGTACTGCGTCAAGAAGACCACATTAACACCTCCACGTACTGCTTCAAGAAGACCACATTAACACCTCCACGTACTGCGTCAAGAAGACCACATTAACACCTCCACGTACTGCGTCAAGAAGACCACATTAACACCTCTACGTACTGCATCAAGAAGACCACATTAACACCTCCACGTACTGCGTCAAGAAGACCACATTAACACCTCTACGTACTGCATCAAGAAGACCCCATTAACACCACGTACTGCTTCAAGAAGACCACATTAACACCTCCACGTACTGCGTCAAGAAGACCACATTAACACCTCCACGTACTGCATCAAGAAGACCACATTAACACCACGTACTGCGTCAAGAAGACCACATTAACACTACGTACTGCGTCAAGAAGACCACATTAACACCACGTACTGCGTCAAGAAGACCACATTAACACCACGTACTGCGTCAAGAAGACCACATTAACACCACGTACTGCATCAAGAAGACCACATTAACACCACGTACTGCGTCAAGAAGACCACATTAACACCACGTACTGCGTCAAGAAGACCACATTAACACCACGTACTGCGTCAAGAAGACCACATTAACACCACGTACTGCATCAAGAAGACCACATTAACACCACGTACTGCGTCAAGAAGACCACATTAACACCACGTACTGCGTCAAGAAGACCCCATTAACACCACGTACTGCGTCAAGAAGACCACATTAACACCACGTACTGCGTCAAGAAGACCACATTAACACCACGTACTGCGTCAAGAAGACCACATTAACACCACGTACTGTATCAAGAAGACCACATTAACACCACGTACTGCGTCAAGAAGACCACATTAACACCACGTACTGCTTCAAGAAGACCACATTAACACCTCCACGTACTGCTTCAAGAAAACCCCATAAACCCCAACATACTTTATCAAGAAATCTCTGTGTCTCAAAAAATTTATTATGAAGCACACAGAAACTCTATGGAAAACACACCAAATATTTCACACTCCGCTCGCTGAAAATCAAATAGAGGTCACTATAATTGCTAATATTTCCTAAAGTACTATACTTAGGGCGACCAAGATTAACCTATGTCCGTCCTATACCCCTGATTAACACCCCTGCAAAGTTAGGGTAAATTTGCTCCATGCGTTTCTCCTCCAACCTCGAACAAGCAGACATTTTCTCTCAAATAACCTCAATGTTACAGTAAAAATAATTTGATTGGACTTTGATTTAAGACGTACCTGGTATACCAAGGAGATAGCAGACCTGTACCTTAGGGTGTAGCCACTGGGGGCGCCCCTGTCTAGGATGGGGGTCCAGGTTAGCCACACTTCTCTGTCTGTCACCCTGTTTACCTGCTGGGGGAGTCACACAGGTGTTAGTGTACTGGTGGAGGGTGGCAGGTGATGGTGTACTGGTGGAGGGTGGCAGGTGTTGGTGTACTGGTGGAGGGTGGCAGGTGTTGGTGTACTGGTGGAGGGTGGCAGGTGTTGGTGTACTGGTGGAGGGAGGCAGGTGTTGGTGTACTGGTGGAGGGAAGGAGGCAGGTGTTGGTGTACTGGTGGAGGGTGGCAGGTGTTGGTGTACTGGTGGAGGGAGGGAGGTGTTGGTGTACTGGTGGAGGGTGGCAGGTGTTGGTGTACTGGTGGAGGGAGGGAGGGAGGCAGGTGTTGGTGTACTGGTGGAGGAAGAGAGGCAGGTGTTGGTGTACTGGTGGAGGAAGGGAGGCAGGTGTTGGTGTACTGGTGGAGGAAGAGAGGCAGGTGTTGGTGTACTGGTGGAGGAAGAAATCGAGGTGTTAGTGTACAAGTGGAAGACAAGTGTTGGTATACTGCAGGAAAACAGGTGTTGGTGTACTGGTGGAAGAAAGCAGCTGCTAATAAACAGAAGGAATCACGCAGATGTTAGTATACTAGATAAAGAAAACCTACAATAGTTTACTCTAAGACCAATAATATTCCCAATCATCCAATAATCACCATCACTAAACAATATAACCATCACAATTTTCCCCAAAAATGATGTCTCACGTTAAAAAATTTAGTAGTAAAAACTCGTATAATAACTAACGGAGAAATTTGTGGGCGGCTGTGGGCGTGCGGGCGGCTTAAGGCTGAGAAGGAGGGTGTGGGCGCCCAGGGGATTGTGAGCTGTGCATCTATATATTGTGTAGTCCTCTTGAGCTACTCCCTTCACTTCCAGAACTGATGACCAGAGTTCCAATCCGTCCAAAAGCTGCCAATCAATCAAAAAAGTGACAGTCAATCAATCAATGACGGATAAGAGCTAAACGATGCTAGTTATCATATATCATCAATTTGACTCAAGAACTCATCAATTATTGTGACTCACAACTCACCAGGACTCACCTGAGACTCGTGGATGGTGAATTTGTCACTATTCAGGAGGATGAGTCCACTCTGGCTGCTCCAGACGAATGTGGGCGGAGGGGCGGCTCTAACGTTACACACCAGCCGCCCAATCCCGCCCACAGCCGCCCACAAACCCCCGCCCTCGTCCAAGTCCTCTGCAGCTGCTACTCCATCTAGAGAAAAGTCCAACAGCATTTTCCCTGATCATTTCATTAAGTACTTTCAAATATAATTAGCTTTTCGTGTAGCAGAGTAAATTGGATATCTGGTTTAAGTCACGTTGGTATTCCTTTAGTATTGTACATTTTAAATGAGTTTTTGGTTGTACAGTTTACTAAAAGTTGTAAAGTGTTGTAAATCTTCAATTGTTGTAGTGTTGTACACCTCATAACACCTCCATGATAAGGTTGTTGTTTAAGATTTGCTATCTGGAACAAAAAGTTCCAAGTAGCACGGGCTATGGTGAGCCCGTAGTGGACGTTTTGGTTCCATGATAATGTAATTTGCTCATTATTATCAGTAATTTGGTAAATATTATTTGCATATTCAATTATTTTTTCGTTTGGTTTTATTTCTGCTCTGAATGTGATTTGTTTTTACTGAAATAAACCCCAAATAAACATATATTTTTGCTGTAAATTATCAACCCATTAGTTGAGAATTTACGGAGTGTAAATGTAAACTATTTTTCTCGTTGTTCCCAGACACTCAAGTTCCCCTTGGAATCATAAAACATTTACACACAATCAGTTACGAAACCTGTGCATCTTTCGACAATCATGGCGGCTTTGTTTACATTTATTCAACAGGTGTATGAGTAAGGTGGATCATTCTCTCTTAATATGGAAAGTCTCTGTTTGGTGGATAAGTTCTGGCATCCGTTGGTGGATGTGTTCCAGAAAATTTATATCCATTCTATTGCATGGTTTCTTGATGTTATCTTGAGATGATTTCGGGGCTTTTTAGTGTCCCCGCGGCCCGGTCCTCGACCAGGTCTCCACCCCCCAGGAAGCAGCCCGTGACAGCTGACTAACACCTAGGTACCTATTTTACTGCTAGATAACAGGGGCATAGGGTGAAAGAAACTCTGCCCCGTTGTTTCTCGCCGGCACCTGGGATCAAACCCAGGACCACAGGATCACAAGTCCAGCGTGCTGTCCGCTCGGCCGACCGGCTCCCCTGGTGACTAATCTTTACCCAAGAAAAGTAAAACTCTACTTAAGAATTGTTAAGAATGTCAAGAAATATTACCAATAGAAGAAGAATATTTTTTTATTGCTGGCATTTTTTATTAATAAATCCAAATATCCAATTTGTTTTATTTGACTCTATTGTTTATTGATAAAAGTTTTGTGGCGTTAAATTGTTACGAATTATGAAAGGACTTCACTCACTAAGACTTTATGTGAGTGAATCATGCACTAAGACTTTATGTGAGTGAATCATGCACTAAGACTTTATGTGAGTGAATCATGCACTAAGACTTTATGTGAGTGAATCATGCCCTAAGACTTTATGTGAGTGAATCATGCCCTAAGACTTTATGTGAGTGAATCATGCACTAAGACTTTATGTGAGTGAATCATGCACTAAGACTTTATGTGAGTGAATCATGCCCTAAGACTTTATGTGAGTGAATCATGCCCTAAGACTTTATGTGAGTGAATCATGCCCTAAGACTTTATGTGAGTGAATCATGCACTAAGACTTTATGTGAGTGAATCATGCCCTAAGACTTTATGTGAGTGAATCATGCACTAAGACTTTATGTGAGTGAATCATGCCCTAAGACTTTATGTGAGTGAATAAAGCTACTCTTACTGAAGTAGTGAAGACCTAATGTAATATCCACGCCCACGTGAAAACTGTATTTTATAGTATAAATACTCACACGTCACCACCAAGTGTTCTACCACCACTACCACATGTTCTACCACCACTACCACGTGCTCTACCACCACTACCACGTGTTCTACCACCACTACCACGTGTTCTACCACCACTACCACGTGTTCTACCACCACTACCACGTGTTCTACCACCACTACCACGTGTTCTACCACCACTACCACGTGTTCTACCACCACTACCACGTGCTCTACCACCACTACCACGTGTTCTACCACCACTACCACGTGTTCTACCACCACTACCACGTGTTCTACCACCACTACCACGTGTTCTACCACCACTACCACGTGTTCTACCACCACTACCACGTGTTCTACCACCACTACCACGTGTTCTACCACCACTACCACGTGCTCTACCACCACTACCACGTGCTCTACCACCACTACCACGTGTTCTACCACCACTACCACGTGTTCTACCACCACTATCACGTGCTCTACCACCACCACGTGGTACCACGTGCACCACAACACCCTCAGTACTCACGGGCCACCACCACGTAAGTCCTGGTAGGGGGCGCTGATCCCACGACGTTACGGGCGTGACACAGATACACGCCCGTGTCCGCCCGTCTCGCTGACTCCATCACCAGCCTCGCCACGCCCACGCCCGAGGCCAGGGGCGCCCCAGAACTGAGGACGAAACAGTTTTGGCAACAATAATTACTCTGAAAATCCCACTTTAGAGTTGAAGTGCATAGGGGAGACTCACCTGAACCAGGTGAGCCAGATAAGGTGTTAGACTAACCTGTTGTGGGTGTTGCTTGGTTCTCTAGTCCACGTGAGATGTGGAACAGGGTTACCACTGGCAGAACACTGGATGCTCACCCTTCCATCCTCTTCCACACTCACGCGATCACTCGATTCCACCTTTTCCGGTCCGTCTGAAGGAAGGGACATGCCGTTGGATTTCAAACTAAACCGCTCGTGAAAGCTATAATGTCTATTTCTTTATTTTCATTATATATAATGTGTGAGATATGTGGGATGGGATAGAGGCAAGGGTAGGGGAGATAAGGGAGAGGAGAGAAGGGAATTCTGGGTAAATCTGGGAAACAACGACCAATATATAAATTTAAATTTTCACTGGTAATATATATATTTATCTCTATTTCTCTTCTATTTTAATTTTTTGTATATATATAAGCACGTTGCATGCAACAAACTCATAATTGCACATGTAAATTCTCTCTATATATATTGTGAAGTGTATCTTTAATTAAATGTGTTCTGAATATTCTACACTAAATATTTTCACAAAATTTTCACCAAAACTTTTTCCCCCATTCAAAGTGCTTAAGGAAATGCTGTTTAACATAGAAAAGGCTTCTAGAATTTGAAAATAATTAGAAAAAACACCTTGATCTAGACAATATAAGTTTTAGCCCAAGAAAATGCTTCTAATTCTATCAAATAGCTGTTAGTTTTAGGCCAAGAAAATGCTTCTAGATCTAGAACATATTTATAAATTTTAACCCAAGAAAATGTTTCTAGATCTGCAAAATAATTGCTAGTTTTTGGCCAAGAAAATGCTCCTAGATCTAGAAAATATTGTGTTATCTAGAAAGTATTGTGTTATCTAGAAAGTATTGTGTTATCTAGAAAGTATTGTGTTATCTAGAAAGTATTGTGTTATCTAGAAAGTATTGTGTTATATAGAAAATATTGTTATCTAGAAAATATTGTTATCTAGAAAATATTGTTATCTAGAAAATATTGTTATCTAGAAAGTATTGTATTATCTAGAAAGTATTGTATCTAGAAAGTATTGTGTTATCTAGAACGTATTGTGTTATCTAGACAATCATACTAAACTACAAAACACTACAAGAGTTACAAAAGTCTAAGATAACCAACATCAGAAGAGACTAACATTGAACATTGAGGACAAAGGAAGCGTTGATAGCGCCGGCGTCCGAACTCGAGGTGACTGAGTAGTTCCCACCTTGCTCTCTCATCACCTTGGCCAGGTGTAGCTCCGACGCCGTGCTTACCTGTAGCGTCTCCTGTCCCCGTCGCCACCAGTACCTGTAACAGATGGAGGTAAACTCCTCTACCAGGAGATGTTGATATACCGTCTTTCTTGATGTATATACCACCAGAGGTCACCAGAGGTCACCAGAGGTCAACAGAGGTCACCAAAGACCACCAGATGTCACCAGAGGTCACCAAAGGTCATCTGAGGTCACCAGAGGTCACCAAAGACCACCAGATGTCACCAGAGGTCACCAGAGGTCACCAAAGGTCACCAGAGGTCACCAGAGGTCACCAGAAGTCACCAGAGGTCACCAGAAGTCACCAGAGGTCACCAAAGACCACCAGATGTCACCAGAGGTCACCAAAGACCACCAGATGACACCAGAGGTCACCAGAGGTCACCAAAGGTCACCAGAGGTCACCAGAGGTCACCAAAGGTCACCAGAGGTCACCAGAAGTCACCAGAAGTCACCAGAGGTCACCAAAGACCACCAGATGTCACCAGAGGTCACCAGAGGTCACCAAAGGTCACCAGAGGTCACCAGAGGTCACCAGAGGTCACCAAAGGTCACCAGAGGTCACACAATACCTTAGAGGTCCGGGGTTGGCAGCAGCTGAGGCAGACACTATCAGGTCAGCGCCCTCGTACACGTCGACCTCTGGCGGCGGCCGCGACAACCACACAGGAGGGTCTGTTGACAAAGAGGGTCATGATAGTGCTATACTGCTCCTGAGGTAGGGACAGGAGTCACAATAATGCTATACTGGCCTCGGGAGAGAGAGGGGGGACAAGAGAGTGCTATATACGGTTGGTCTGTCACTCGAATTGATTAGTAATATGATATCTGGGCAATATCAGCCAATCAGACCGTTATCGACCTGATGGCCAGATGAATGAAGCTAATGATTGACACCTGTCGCTAATATTCTCTTTTGTACAGGATCAATACAGGAGGGATGCAGGCGATGAGTCACAATAACGTGGCTGAAGTATGTTGACCAGACCACACACTAGAAGGTGAAGGGACGACGACGTTTCGGTCCGTCCTGGACCATTCTCAAGTCGATTCTCACAATCGACTTGAGAATGGTCCAGGACGGACCGAAACGTCGTCGTCCCTTCAACTTCTAGTGTGTGGTCTAATTAATATAGGAGGGATGAATGTGGAGGTACATAGGAAATAGTTAACAAAATCCTTTGAAAGAAATTAATGAATGTTATAATGAATCCTTTGAAAGAAATTAATGAATGTTATAATGAATCCTTTGAAAGAAATTAATGAATGTTATAATGAATCCTTTGAAAGAAATTAATGAATGTTATAATGAAGTGAATGAAAAATTGAAAAATTGGTAGATTTTATATTTGTCCAATTTGGTGAGTGAGTAGGACCAATTTTACGATTAAATTTTGTCAATTTTAATCGTAAAATATAAATATGTTTGTCCAATTCTCACCAAATATACATCTACCTTTTCGTTCCTAAGCTACTAAAACTACTATTGGGAATCCTAATATATTAAAAAAAACACTCATTAAACATTCTCTCAGGATGTTGCAAGAGATGTGTGTATATAAAAATCCATTTAAAGATTATACAAATTTATATATTAGCCAAATAGGTATAAACATTTTGACCAGAGGACAAAAAAAAACAAATATAGCATAAGAACAGCTCAAAAGTCCAACGCATTTCTTGTTTAGCTAAGAAATTTTAATCATTCAATTGAGTGGATAATTTTATGCAAAATTATTGAGTGTTAAAGAAATAATATTGAATCTACGTTTACAAAAAGTAGTGAATTAGATAATGCAACTCCAGGATTAGATAAATTGGATACATAATTGATAAGTTTTGTAATAGGTATGCAATTATGAAACGGATAATTGAGCAATAGGGAATAGTCTATCTCCATACAATCATATCACTTAAATCATTCCATATTATGTTTATGGACCTTAATCTACACAGGCGTAGTGGTGGTATATAATCCCAAACCTGAGATTTCTCTGTCTGTATTCCTTAAAAATGTGTTGAAACACGAAACGTTTGGAATTTTCAATTTAGTTTTCCTATGTAGACACTTACACTTAACCGAATCACGTGTTTTCGTATGATTATTCTTGTGTATATAACCTCCTTATGTCCGGTCGAGATGGTCTAGTGGATTAAGGTGTCCTGTACATACCAGTTGCGTTGCTCCTGGCAGTATGGGTTCGAGTCACTTCTGGGGTGTGAGTTTTCAGTTGCATATAGTCCTGGGGACCATTCAGGCTTGTTCGCATATATATATATATATATATATATATATATATATATATATATATATATATATATATATATATATATATATATATATATGTCGTATATATATATATATATATAAGCCAAGTTTTCCTGACAAAGTCAGACCACGGAGGAAAAATGAAACAGGAATTTCCTTAAGTACTTTCGTATATTAAATACATCTTCAGAAGGTGTTATATTGATTAAGATTAATATTGATAAAATATTAATAAAGAAATATTGATAAAGATTAAGCCACCCAAGAGGTGGCACGGGCATGAATAGCCCGTAAGTGGTACAATTTTTTTTTTTTCAGTATTAGTTTCAGTATTTTTTCAGACCTTCTGAAGATGTATTTAATATACGAAAGTACTTAAGGAAATTCCTGTTTCATTTTTCCTCCGTGGTCTGACTTTGTCACATTCTTAATCACGTGTTTATTTTCGTGATATACACACACACATATATATATATATATATATATATATATATATATATATATATATATATATATATATATATATATATATATATATATATATTTCTTGAAGAGTATCGGGAGAGAAGCGTTGGGAATATTCCCCACTTATGCAGGGAGAGATTATATAAAGTGTTTGGTTATCAGAGACACTCAAAACAGGCCAGGAGTTTTACGGCAAGAATACCAGAGAGAGAGAGCGAGAGAGAGAGAGAAAGGAAAGAGAGAGAAAGAGGAATAAACAAAGACACAGACATGAAAAATTGACGGGGATCCACATTGGCACAAGATTACACGAAGGGAGACAGAAACAATGGTTTCATCCGGCACAGGGAGAGGGATAATGCCAGCCCGGAGCACACACACACACGGGGGAGAGACAGCCAGCTTGCCCTGCAACAGAGGGGCTGTTGCATAAAAGACCCAGGGGACTGTAAAGTAGTCTGGGATAAAAAAAAGATTACTGGCCACAATGACGCTTGCTGTGGCAGCTGTGTCGAATCCCAGACGCTACGGTCCCTCTCCCCCCCTCTCTCTCTCTCTCTCTCTCTCTCTCTCTCTCTCTCTCTCTCTCTCTCTCTCTCTCTCTCTCTCTCTCTCTCTCTCTCTCTCTCTCTCTCTCTCTGACATACGCCTGACATAGCTATCTCTGGAAACATTTTGTTTTACCTATGGAAAACATTTTAAAAATCATGTAAATGATGTGTGAATAATAATGAATGGTGGTATTCATTATATACATTTTTATTTGTTTTGACTATTTGGTAAATTCGTGATACTGATATTAACACAAGGACTACTGCTGATAATAATTTAACTACCATTACTACTACCAATATCACTACTGATCACCATCATTCATATTAGGTAATGGTACTATTTTCTCACAGACATAATGACATACGATACAATTTCTCACATATGTCCTTGTAAATTTAATGTAAAGTTTTGCACTAAAGCTTTCGTATTCTCCTAAGTGCTTTGTCAAAGTCTGAGTGTGTTAATAGGACAAGACTTACATCTCAACGAGTTTAATTAGACGTAACAAAGTCCTAATGCCATTGTGGATTAAAAATTCACGAATATTTTCGTTTTTTAATCTTATCTATTTATATACTTATTTACTTATTTAAAATTCACGAATATTTTTGTTTTTTGATCTTATCTATTTATATACTTATTTAATTTAATCTAAAGATAAAAAATGTTTTTTATCTTATCATTCATATTCTTCCATTTCTCACTTTCCTGGGACGAAAGAACGTCAAGACTTAGAAGAAATAAAACAGAGAATAGGAAAAGTGCTCAAGAAACTTTAAACAATTCCTTTCTTCCATTCACAGCATCACAATACACAGAAGAGCAGAGAATCAACCTTTCACAATATTACACCGTAAGTCACAACATCTTACAGACTTACACAATACACGAAGTATGTTGACCAGACTACACACTAGAAGGTGAAGGGATGACGACGTTCCGGTCCGTCCTGGACCATTCTCAAGTCGATCGACATGGAATCGACTTGAGAATGGTCCAGGACGGACCGAAACGTCGTCGTCCCTTCACCTTCTAGTGTGTGGTCTGGTCAACATACTTCAGCCACGTTATTGTAACTCATCACCTGCATTCACAGACAATCAACACAGACACACTTTAGGATAACACAGACTGGCTGTATAACTCTCAAATATGATTGGTATAACAAGGACTGATAATCCGTTCCACAAAATTGGCCAATCGAGTATAAATTATATTCCACAACTAATCAGATCAAACTAAACCAATCATAACCTAGAATATCATGTGTTAATCTTACGAACCCATACGCATGCGTTCGTAAGACAGATCTTGCGTTGTAAACTATGTCATCTTCCAGGAATATAATTATAAAAACATCGAATTGGAAGAGATCATCTTAGCCGAAATCTTAGACGCGTCTGGAATGTCGGTAAGGATAACAGAGAGCTTTTCAACACCGGGATATACAAGCCGGGATAAGATGATAAGATAAAATAAGATTATGCAAAGCAACTCCCCAGAAGGGAGTTAGGAAGGCAGGTGCTGGGGGCAGTGAGGCAAGATGAGAAGAGTGGATAGCAGTAAGCTGTGTGTTGAAGATGGCAGCCAAGCAGCAGTGTGTGTGCTGTAGATGGCAGGAAAGGCAGGGAAGGTGTTAAAAATGGCAGGCAGGACTCAGAATGTGTTGAAGATGGCAGTCAAGCAGCAGTGTGTGTGCTGGAGATGGCAGGAAAGGCAGAGAAGGTGTTAAAAATGGCAGGCAGGACTCAGAATGTGTTGAAGATGGCAGTCAAGTAGCAGTGTGTGTTCTGGAGATGGCAGGAAAGGCAGAGAAGGTGTTAAAAATGGCAGGCAGGACTCAGAATGTGTTGAAGATGGCAGGCAAGCAGCAGTGTGGGTGCTGGAGATGGCAGGAAAGGCAGGGAGAGCGTTGGAAATGGCAGGCAGGACTCAGAATGTGTTGAAGATGGCAGCCAAGCAGCAGTGTGTGTTCTGGAGATGGCAGGAAAGGCAGAGAGCACGTTAAAAATGGCAGGCAGGACTCAGAATGTGTTGAAGATGGCAGGCAAGCAGCAGTGTGTGCTGCAGATGGAAGGAAAGGCAGGGAGCGTGTTGAAAATGGCAGCCAGGACTCATAATGTGGTGGCGGATGGCAGGCAAGCAGGTAACGCGGCTCTGATGCGAATGGCAGCCAAACAATAACAAGGAATGCTAAAGATGGCAGCAGGAAGTACGCTATGGATGTTTGGGAGGATCGGAAGGCAACCTGGACCCAGATTCACGAAGCAGCTACGCAAGCACTTACGATTCTGTACATCTTTCCTCTATATTTGACGGCTTTGGTTACATTTATTAAACAGTTTACAAGCAGTTTACATGAAAACTTGCCAATCAACTGTTGTTA